CACAGCAACCCTGCCATTGATTTCCCCATGTCATTTCTCAAGTCATAGTGACACCATTGGTTATGGATGAATCGACTGACTGAGATGACGAAATGTATCAGTTTTATGGCACAATACTACGCTATTAGTGATGCCTTTCACAGGTGTATGAATCTGTATGTACAAGGTACCATCTGGTACCACAAGGCACCACTTACGACAGATTTTTCTGTAGACAGGAATTATATTTGTAACTATCATTGTATATATATCTAATAGAAATACAGTTCTTGACATTATATGCAATTTTATAGTAAATAGTCTGTGGTTTTTATCTTTGTGCACAATGATGATCTTCTTACTGAGGAAAATGTATACTTTTACATTTTCCACTCTTTGTGGCTTTTTTGGGTGATAAATATGTGTTCAGGGAAACTACTGTGAAAAAACCTGGACAGAGTGTTCACAGGTGAAGTAACGATGGAGCTCAGGTCCTTAGGAGCTGCACCAGCCAGAGAAGAGGGATTCATCAGCAGTGCTGCAGTAGCAAAAGGAATCACCTCTCACTGACAGATTTCACTCCACCAAGGGTGATGAACTTGTGTGAGTTTTGTTGTACAAGGTTAGGCTCCAGCAGAGCCATCCTTGCATTCAGAAAAATAATCACTGAATGTGCAGAGCTGCTGTCAAAACATGCAGGAAAAGATGGGAATAGATGTTTATATCAGTAAAAAACAATAGCTAGGAATCCCGACTTTTCTAAAACTGTATTCCCAGAGATCCTACACTTTCAAGGGGACCTCTATCATATTCTCTAAAATCTGCCATGTCAAAATTGTAACTACTAGTAAGTGAGGTGCTGGCATTCTCAAGGTATTTTAAGAAGCCCTTCATATTATAATGTGCGATGCATAAGAATTAATTAGTATGAAAGCTGGTGAAGATAAAATGATGGCTACACTATCAGAAAGAGTTAGACTGGAAGGTGGTGAAAAGCCCAACAGCCATTAGCTTTCTCTGTGACTGAGCTAAAGGAACACTTGGATAAATGGCGACTGACACAGCAAAAAATTCCTTTTCAAGACTTTCAAAAAGGCCTTCTACAATATTTCAAGTTGAAAAAAAATGTCTAAGACGCTTGCATGCAATTCATTTCAGCAAACTCCATTATGTCCAAAAATCTCAAACAAAAGCCCTCTTCAAATATTTCCCTAAGTATAGATTTCTATAGAGCAACATGAGCTTGAATTGCCTTTTAGTTACTGCACAGAGGAGACTTCCTGACTACACAGGGCTGTTGTCAACTGCTTCACAATGTACATTCATGAAAAATGTTATAGGTCAGGCACTTTCAGTATGTGGAATGTCACCTGGAAGAAATGTCCTCAGAGTTGGCACTGATGTGGCATGGGGAAAAAATCAATGTATGTATGGCTTGGCAGCATTTGCAAGTGTTCAGTTTGTAACCTCAAAACTCAAGGGAGGACAGTCTGAACAAACGCAGGAGTAATCAGACTCTTTCCTCAGCTCTACGCACAGCTGTTCCTTTCAAAACATCGTAAAACAGTACAGTATCTAGCAGAAGCTGATGCTCCTCTTCTCAGTAGTAACTCTCATACTGCTCCTTTAATATGCAATTTAGGGGGTAAATAAATAGCAGTGCCATCTGCCCCACTCCACAAAGGACCCATTTATCAAGCCCAGCAGTAGCGGACAAATCTTGATCTGCTGTAGTGATACAGTACTCGCACCCTGAAGGATGAGCTCTGCTGTCATCTACTGATGAACAGCAGAGCCAAATGGTTTGCCATGCTTTGATATGGAAAACAAAGTAATACTGAAATACTTTGCACAGATGCAACTAGAGAAGTAAACGTGACAACTCTTTTCAGCTCCAAATGCTGCACAAACAGTAGTAAGTACCTGATGGCAAAGTGCGGCCTTATCTTTCCCTTAGCATTTACGCATATAGTTGAGAGAAAGAACGTCCAACTTGACATACCAGAGAGGAATGAAAAGGTCAGATTTCTTCTCAAGAAACTACTTTTATGATTACCGATGCAGCAATTTTGAAACTTTGTGTTGATGCATGTAATTCCACATTATCAAAAATACTCAGATACAGGTTCTGCTACACAAGTTTGTAATCTTTGAGAAATAAGTAATTATTTCTTTTCTTTTTTTAATAAAAACACAGAAGTCCAAAAAGCATAGTGAGACTTTTTGAACAAGCATCTTAACCAAAATGTTTTCATCACAAATTATACTTTGATAGAATGGGAAAGAATCATTCAATTAAGTGTTTCTGTCATTTTAGAGCAAGATTTGTCAAAGTCAGAACTTCTGTTTTGTGAAAGAGGCTCTTTTGATTCAATTTCCTCATGACCAGGTTGACATCGCTCTGGGAAAGGTACCTTATCACACAAAACAGCTGATGCCCACAACTTGCCTGGGATGTAGGATACACAACTTCAAATCTCCACTCTTTCAACCTAATAGGGTTTCAAATATGACTCAAGGAAAGATGTTATTCTTGCTTGCAAACAATATTCCTTAATCACTTCTGAGCGGATTAGTTCTAAGTGTATGCAGAGTCATGCATGGAGAAATCAGTATCTTTCTTACACTTTTGTTTATGCAAGGAAGCGTTTGCATTACTTTACTCACCATTCCATGATTTAGCCACGCCGGTATAAAATTATCAAGCAGCTTTGGGTAAACCAGTTCCCTGTCATAGATATAGATGCTCCAAAACATCGTCACAACAAACTAAGAAGAAAAGAAAAGAAAAGACAAGACAAGGCATTTTAAAATATACGCCTCTGAACAATTAGTTACACATTTTAGATAGCAAAAGGGGGCATTTAGCAAATGATCTATGCACAGACACAGATTTTATTGTTCTGTGACCAAATCCTGCTTTAATCAACAGTGTGAACCTGGATTACTCTTTGCACTCACAGGAGGGGTTTTTTTTCTGACTTTCAGCCTGGAAAAAAAATCTCATTTTTTGACTTACATGCCTGTGGCCAAATTACAACTGAGTACTATACTTTAGTAGCAGATGTGGCACATAAATAACGTTTTACCACTAACAGGATAGAAAACAAATGGAAAATCACATAAAATATCACTTGGAATTCATAGAATGTATAAATATGAAACATCCACCCCGGAACAGAAGCCTACAAACTCATCTTTGCACTTTTTCATGTCAGCCATCAAAATAGCATTGTTTTTTTAAAAAAATTAACCCTTTAGCTACTCTGCACACAATTCACGGACTGGGATCCACAGAAAAGAGGTCTAGTATCCTGCTCATTTGTCAATATGAAATTTGGCTTGAGACTATTTACCAGGAGCCCAGAGAAAGACCGTTATTTCCTCTAGACTGAGGACAGGACAGATGGCTCATAAAGTTTGCACTAGGCTAAATTTTTTCCAAAGTGTGCACAAATTCTGTAAAGCTACCCTGACGTTTGAAAAGCAAAGACAATATAAAACTGCAAAAATTTACAGAAGTAATAGTTTTAACTTACCTTAGCTGGGGAAAGAACAAAGTAAGTAATCTTTTAATTAAAACACAATTGCTTTCTTCCCTTGAATTTGAGTCATAGTTTTCTAGTAATAAAAGGCTCATTGTTCACAGCAGTAAAACCCAATACCTGAGCCAGGAGCTTTTCAACGACCATTTTCAGGGGATCTCTACACAGTAGCAACAAGTCCAAGTTTCAAGTTTGAGAGGCAACAGATAGTACTTTCACTGAGATCAGCAAGGAAGTATTCAGTTACATCCAAACTGATGTGGCTCATGATCTTACAGCTAATTTGGGGGGGTCAGTAAAGAGAAAGCACAAGAAATATGGGGTGAGCACAGCAAGGTCAGCAAATTACTAGTGTGTGTGACAGTGTAGGCATAAGTTGTTTCATATGCTTCTGACTTCGGAAAGTTAAAATTGAGGTTGCAGTTTATCAATGGCACCTTGTTCTAACCACAGACACACAGACTTCGGCCAGCCAGTTATGTGAATGACCTGAACCAGTACACTGTTCCCTCAGTGTGCATACAGTACATAGTTTCTTGGCTTCCAACACACTTGTCCATCTGTTATGATAGCTATCGGTGCCTGCTCAGAATAAGCTTGGACTATTTGACTGGTGCACAGAGGCCAGGAAAAAAAAATAGTTTATGATGGACAGCCCAAAAAATATTGCAAGTGCAAAGTACCCCACAAGAAGTCTCTCTTTTGGGCCAGTCTTGGCATTGGCACAGCCTAGCTCTTTACGCACCTGCTGACACATAAGTGCCAAGATATGAATAGCTGAACAGCAGGGTAAATGGAGGCAAAGTATCCTCTTCTCTATAGGCTTCCTAGAAGTCATGTATTATCACAGTGGGTCTCTGAGAACCTGCTAAGACCAACTGGGACATAAAAACATATTCTCAAGCACATGAAGACCAAGACTGATAATGCTTTTTTCCAAGGAAGTCTTACAGCAAGAAAAATCACCCAGGATTAGGTTGAACCCGATTACACTGGATACAACAAAGCTGGCATGTTTTGACCTGTGATTTTTCTGTGGAACAGAATAAAACAATAGACTTTGCCAAGGAGGTAAAGATAAGAAAAGAGGGGACGTGCCATCTGTCCCTTAACCAAAGTCAGCCAATGGATGGAACGGGATCAGCCTAGCTGGTTGCAACCATCTGGAGCTACAGACGGCAAATGCTGCTTAGCAAAGCACTATCACAAGGCAGACATAAGGTAAAGGAAGTGCGCAAAACCCAAGGTGTTACAGAACTAACCTATCCCAGAGGACGACGCGACACGAGACTAATGCAACACGCTGGGGAAGATCCCTTCCAGTATCTGAACAGTTCACCTTACCTTTCCTTACAATCAGTTCATTTGGATAAAATGAACTATAAAAATGAACTATTGCACTATGAACTGAGATGAACTCTAAAAATGAACCATAAAAATGTAACATTTGGATAAAAAGAACTGTAACGAGGACTTGCTACTTAGTTACCTTGGCCGCTTCTGAATTTGTTTACTTTGATTAATGAGCAACTGTTGGTCTGGTACTATTAAATCACTTCTACTATGCTTACAATTTGGTACTGGTAGACTTTTATTTGGGCTGGGCTTTGCCAAGATTACACACGGTCATACAGTGCCAGACCATGATACAACTAAGCTGCTGCTTTACACTGCCTATGCAAGGCTCAATCAGAATTGCCGTTCTTATGCTCATGCTGCCTTCCTTGTGGCACAGTTCATCACTATTGTGGAGACAGTCATGGTACTACCCTCACGTGCCAGGCTGAACAGGCTGCTCATGTGCAGACATCTTTCAGGGAGCACAATACTTTTATTCCCAAGGCAAAATGACACAAATGTCAGCCTTCCACTTCCTCTTCAGACAAACTCGAGGCCTGGAATTCAAAAAAGAAAACAGGCACCAACAATTGCTTTTACACTTCTTTGCACAGGAGCCTCCTAAGACTGCCAACTTTCCGAGGACAGCGATTACTTGGTTAAACATAAGGTTAAGGAACATATAAAAGAACAGAAGAATCCCTCATTTACTACTTATCCCATCTAGGGTCGTTACAGACCAAAGGTGGAAAATGTTTGAAAATACAGAGTAGCTCACTTGTTGCAGGCATCTAAAGTATTGCTAAACAAATACAGAGCAGCAGGAAAAAAATAAGGCTGAAAACTAAACTCTGTTTTCCCACTTAAGAAGATATTCCTTGACTTTTTGTCCTCTGTCTCTGAAGCTTCAGAGGACATGAGAAGAGCATATGGCACTGCCAAGGGACAAATTTGAAAGGACAAGTTGGGAAATGGTTGGTGATTCAAAAGGGAAAATAAGTGGCTTTATCAAAACACCACAAATGGAAGCAAAGATAAACTAAGAGAGGAAAGCCAGTGCATAATTTGCTGTTTTACATGAGCCCGACCAAGAAATCTTATGCAAATGAAGAATGAACTTGGTGGAACTTTATTTTCCTGCACTATGTGTTTTGTTTTTGGCTGGGCTGCGCAGTTCAGTTCATTCATTTCCTGGATGGCCTCATGACAGAGAAAAAAAACCCCAACCCTTTGACCTTGACAAAATTTCTTCTGAGTACAGTTAACGGTAAGCTTTCTGGCTATCTCCCAAGACATTTGCGGTTAACTGCAAGTATAAATATATTGTTTGTGAGCCTCTTTGAGGGTGAAAGGCATTACATATAGAAGCAAAGTGTGATTAAAGGCAGACCACAGTAAGCACAAATTGGCATGGTACTGGCTTTAGGTGGGATCTAGTGCTAGCACAGCATCACACCAAATGAATTTGAAAAGAGCCAATGAAGAAAATCACAAGAAGTGGGAAGTGAAAATCAGGGAAGACTCCCCTTGGAGAACAGAGTTCAGGAGCTAATTGCACCACTGCTCACTCATGTTCTCATTGCCAGCCACATCATCACAGATGAGCGCAAAATCTAGAATAGAGAGATTTTGGCATGGTCAAGTCAGTTATGAAAATAAAAGTATTTTGTAGTCTCATCAAATAACAAGGTAAGTAGGAGACTGCCCACTGCAAACGCCCACACATCTTTTCTTGGGATAAGATCCCAGATCAGCATTATTGATGATGTACAGAAGAAGGGTGATCAGCTTTCCTTTTGACTGTACCAGTACAGAGAAACAAGATGTAAGAAAGCACACCTGGCTTTCTCTCTTTTGTATCACAGAGAATACGAAATCATTCTAGCCTATTGAGACTCAGCCTGAACAGAGCTATTAATGCTCCATGATATAAAATATTATAGAATTGTAGAATCAGAATCATAGAATAGATTGGGCTGGAAGGGACCTTTAAAGGTCATCTAGTCCAACCTACCGTGCAATGAGCAGGGACATCTTCAACTAGATCAGGCTGCTCAGAGCCCCACCCAACCTGACCTTGAATGTTTCCAGGGTTGGTGCATCTAACACCTCTCTGGTCAACCTGTTCCAGTGTTTCACAACCCTCACTGTAAAAAATTTCTTCCTAATATCTGGTCTAAATCTTCCCTCTTTTAGTTTAAAGCCATTACCCCTTGTCCTATTGCAACAGACCCTGCTAAAACGTTTGTCCCCATCTTTCCTGCAGGTCCCCTTTAAGTACTGAAAGGCTGCAATAAGGTCTCCCTGGAGCCTTCTCTTCTCCAGGTTGAACAACCCCAACTCTCTCAGCCTGCTCTCATAGAAGAGGTGCTCCAGCCCTCTCATAATTTTTGTAGCCCTCCTCTGGACTTGCTCCAACAGGCCCTTGTCCTCCCTGTGCTGAGGGCTCCAGAGCTGGATGCAGTACCAGAGTGGAGTAGAGGGGCAGAATCCCCTCCCTCAACCTGCTGGCCATGCTTCTGATGCAGCCCAGGACATAGTTGGCCTTCTGGGCTGCGAGCGCACAATGTCGGCTCATGTCCAGCTTTTCACCCACCAGTACCCCCAAGTCCTTCTTGGCAGGACTATTCTCAATCCCTTCATTCCCCAGCCTGTACTGATACTGGGGGTTGCCTGACTCAGGTGCAGGACCCTGCACTTGGCTTTGTTGAACCTCATGATGTTCAACTGCACCCATCTCAAACCTCTCCAGGTCCCTCTGGATGGCATCCCGTCCCTCAGGCATGTCAACCACACCACTCCACTTGGTGTCATCCACAAACTTGCTGAGTGTACACTCAATCCCACTGACCATGTCATAGGTGAAGATACTGAACAATACTGATC